TGGATGGATGGATGGATGGATAGATAGACAGATGGACAGAAATTTCTTCCCTCCATTTTCTCCTTATCTTATTTATTTATTTTTATTGAACTATAGTTGATTTATAATACTGTGTTAGTTTCAGGTATACAGCAAAGTGATTCAGTTATATATATATACATACATTCTTTTTCATATTCTTTTCCATTATAGGCTATTAGAAGATGTTGAATATAGTTCCCTGTGCTATACAGTAAATCCTTGTTGTTTATCTACTTTATATATAGTAGTATGTATCTGTTAATCCCATACTTCTAATTTATCCCTCTCCTCCTTCCCCTTTGGTAGCCATAAGTTTGTTTTCTATGTCTGTGAGTTTGTTTTTGTTTTGTAAATAAGTTCATTTGTATTATTTTTTTAGATTCCGCATATAAGTGATATCATATAATATTTGTCTTTCTCTGTATGACTTCCTTCACTCAGTATGATAATCTCTAGGTCCATTCATGTTGCTGCAAATGGTGATATTTCATTCATTTTTATGGCTGAGTAATATTCCATTGTGTATATATATCACATCATCTTTATCCATTCATCTGTTGATGGACACTCATTCTCTTTTCTCTTATTTAAATGTCTCCTCGTTCTTCGTCTAATTTTCCCCTCATATTTTCTATCTCTTCGTCTTTTTCTTATACTCCCTCATATTTTCTATCTCTTCGTCTTTTTCTTTTACTCTTGAAGGATTTCTCCAACAAGAAACATAAACATACTCTTTAGAGCTATAGAAACCAGACATAGAGTTAAAAGCTGTGCACCTGAAGAGTATGACTGGACGGGAGGAGGGAAGTGGGAGACCAGGCAGCTGTGACTTTTCACTATAAACCCTCTGAATTCCTTGATTTTTTTAACTTTTGCATTTACTTTGATAACATTGAAAAAAGGGCCAGTTAACCATATAGCGTAGCTTCCCATTGTTCAGATTTCAAGTTCAAAGAAATTTTATTCTCATCAGATTCTTGGGGAAGAAAGAGGAGGTAGGATGATGTCAAAAAGTGAAGCAATGGGTCACTTTTCAGAACTATGCAGAATGGTAAGCATTCTGCAGTTTTTTTCTTACAAATCGAATGGATTTGAATTGCCATCAGGTGTTTCGCAAGTGTTCGGTGCGCCAAGCATTCTGCAAGAGCTTTCTCATTGCTCACCTCATTTCATCCTCACCACCATAGCCTTTTCTAGACAGGGGCCTGAGACAGAGGTGAAATGACCTGCCCCAGGTAGGAGGGAGGGCAGAACGCTTTCTCTCTGTGTCACAGGGCCTTCCCCTGTTGATGTTAGTCATGATGCCTCCAAATCATCAAGGAAAGGCCAAATGGTGGTCAAGATACCTTACTTTGAAAAAAGCACTGATGTGGTAGTGATATGGTGGGGTGAGGGCCCAAGGGATTCCCTAGAATGAATGATCAGGGCCCACAGCTGAGAATGAAAGTCCCAAGTTCCCCACAATCTACGATCAGAGAAATAGCACTCTTCCCCATGGACTGCTGACAGAGGCCTTTTCAACAGAACCAAGAAGAGCTTGTCTTCTTGGAAGAATGCAGCTGAGAGAGGGGGCCCACGAGAACCACATCCTGTTCCCAGTTAGATGTTCTCTGGACTACCAGGCTAGTTTAATAGCCAGGGTGTCCACAGAGAGGGGACAAGAGCTCTGGGGAGAGATGGCAGGGAGTACAGCCAGTGGGGAGTGTGTCACAGCTGCATGGTCAAGTTCAGGTCCTGTAAAGGTATGGAAGCTGAATCCCACCTGTGTTGCCAGGCCTGGAGTAGATAAGGTTGTGGGGTGCAGAGCTCCTGAGAGCTACTGAAGCATGGGGCAAAGAGGTGTTTGCGTGAGAGGATGCTGGCAGCCAGCCCAAAGATTCAGCTGAGTCTCTCAAGGGACCACAAGGGACCTCTCAAGGGCCAGTGGTTGAGTCTCCACCCAACACCACAAACTTGATCGGCAGCAATGGTCCAGTGAGGGGAGACTTCCTGGGGAAAACTGTCTATCCCCGTCTTTCCTCTTCAATCTCATACCAGGGAAGTAGATGCGGGGAAGCTAAGGAGCTGAGACAGCCCTCACTCCTCTCTCTACTCCCCTCCTTGGGCAAAGGGGGGAGCTTTGAGTCAAAGATAAGAGGGAAGTTTTCATTTTTATTTATTTGGCTGCACTGGGTCCTAGCTATGGCACGTGGGCACTTAGCTGCAGCATGTGGGATCTAGTTCCCTGACCAGGGATCGAACCTGGGCCCCCTGCATTGGGAGCGTGGAGTCTTAACTGCTGGACCATTGGGAAGTCCCAAGACGGAAGATTTTAAATGAGCATGACTAAATTTTTAAATGAGTCTGCTTAGTAATCAAAAGTAACTTAAAAGTTTTGGAATTGGACTGAAACGTCACTGGGGGAGGCGGGATCCCAGGCAGCAGTGGTCATTAGAAACAAAATGTATTTGTTTGCTATGGCTGCTCTAACAAATTACCACAGATGCAGTGGCTTAAAACAACAGGAAAGTATTATCTTATAGCTCTGGAGGACAGAAGGCCAGCATGATGCCACTGGGCTAAAATTAAACTATGGGCAGGGTTGGGTCCCTCCTGGAGGCTCCACTAGAGAAGCCGTTTCCTTGCTCGTTTCAGCTTCTGGAGGCCACTTGTGTTTCTTGGCTAATGGCCCCTGCCTCCATATTCAAAGCCAGCAATGTTGCATCTCTCTAACAGTTCTCCCCTGGCCACATGTGACCTCCCCTTGCCTCCTTCTCCCACTTACAAGAACTCTTGTGATTACATTAGGCTCACCTGGATAATCCAGGATCATCACCCCATCTCCAGGTCAGCTGATTAGCAACCTCAATTGCACTTACAACCTTAGTTCCCCTTTGCCATGTAAACATGTGACATATTCACAGGTTGCAGGAATTGGGATGTGGACATCTTGGGGTGAGTGGGGCACCACACGAACCACTTCATCCTCATATGGCAATAAGATTCTAGTTAAAGTTGTTCCATGGGTTTATACATTTTAAAATTTCTTTTTTTTTTGCCTTCTACTGATGTCTCCAGAAGGAAAAAAGGTCAGTGATAATTCTGCCATCTTTGACCAGAAGTCCACCACAGAGCGCCCGTTGTTGCTGACCCAGTGAAGAAGCAGTGGAGACCTGCCACAAGGCTAGGGACAGACAGGGGTCTCTTATGAAAAGAAACATTTATCAGCTTGGTGTCAGCCTGGCAGAGTAAAAAGAGCACAAACTTTGGCATCAGACAGAGCTGAGCTACAATCTTAGATTAGTCAATCTAGACTTAGACTAGTCTAGTTAACTAGACTAGTTAAATCGAGTCTTAGACTAGCTGTGTTGCCTTTAGCAAATTGCTTAATCTCTCTGAATTCTCTCTTTTTATCTGTAAAATGGGGGTAATAAGAACACCCCCAGCTCTTGCCCTGGGGTCTGACACACCAAGGCCCTTGACAGCTAATAACTAAAAGCAGCTCCCATAGTTCTCTTACTCTTCCTTCTTCCATTTATGGCGTCCACCAGATGCTCCCCAAGTTGACAAGACTGAGGTCAGGCCCTGCAGCTCCCTGACCTCCTCCCGGCAGCCAGGACACCTCACCTGTACTGTGGACTCAGGTCCTCACCCTCCCATGGCCTGGGACCTGCTGACCTATGGTTCAGGGCTGGACCAGCTCTGGCCACGCTCCCCCCTCAAAAAAAGTCTGAGGTCATATGAAGGTTCTCAAGGCCGGACTTGGACTCAGAGATAAGGCAGGGCCCTGTGAGCCAGAGTGGGGGCCCATGGTACAATATAGACCAGAAGAGGGTAGGATCCAGTGTGGCCCCAGAGCTGGGGCAGGAACTTGAGGAACATTGGAAGTTCCCAACCTGCGGCCTGGCCATTGGGATTTTGTTTGTTTGTTTTAGTAAAGTTCTCCAGATGATTCTAATGGGAGGCCAATGTTGAGAACCAGTGACATACATGTTATCATTTAATCCTTATTATAACCTGGTGTTGCGGGGTGTTCTTATCACCCCCATTTTACCATAACAGAACTGAAAGCAGAGCCCTCGGTCAAGAAATTCCAATATTGGCAAGACCTCAGCTTTTAGCTGTGACTTATTCCAAACCATAAGAACCTCAATATGAAAATGCATTTTAGAAAAGTAATGCACATTATGTGCTACTTTACCATGAGTTCAACCACTCTATAAGGCAGGTCATAATTATAATCCCATTTTACAGATAAGAGAATAGAAACTTAGAAGAGCTTGATTAACTTGCCTAAGGTTGCAGATCTAGTAAGTGGAAAAATCAGAAGCCAAACCCAGGGCCCTAAGTTGTGACCACCAAGCCAGACCTTTGGGAAATGTATTAAAATGCAGATACCAGAGTCCTATGTCCCTACTCTATCTACTCCCAGTTCTGATTTGTAGGTCTGTTGTGGGACTCGGGAATCAGCATTGTTAACAAACACTCCAATTGGTTCTCAGACCTCGGGGAGGAACACAGCATCCAGCCAGCCTGCAGAGCCCCCAGCTGGGGCAGGTGAGGAAGCTGGAGGCTTGTTCCCTGCAACATTCATAGGCAGTAGCAACAGCAGTCGAGTAGAATGAAAGCACTGAAAAAGACTCCTTGGGCTTCCCTGGTGGTGCAGTGGTCAAGAATCTGCCTGCCAATGCAGGGGACACGGGTTCGACCCCTGGTCTGGGAAGATCCCACATGCCGCGGAGCAACTAAGCCCCTGCGCCACAACTACTGAGCCTGAGCTCTATAGCCCGCGAGCCACAACTACTGAGGCTGCATGCCACAACTACTGAAGCCCATGTGCCTAAAGCCCATGCTCCACAACAAGAGAAGCCACCACAATGAGAAGCCCGTGCACCAAAACAAAGAGTAGCCCCCGCTCGCCGCAACCAGAGGAGAGCCCGCAGGTAGCAATGAAGACCCAATGCAGCCAAAAATTAAATAAATTAATTTTAAAAAAAAAAGACTCCTTGAACCCAAAGACCTCCCCTGTTTGCTTGTCACAGTGATGATGGAATTCCATCATTAAGTCACTCTCTTCAGAGCAAAGTTCCACACTACCTCCTCTCCCCACTTCCCATTTGCCTGGGTGTGCCAGACACCGAGGAAGAGGAACTGATTTTTGCTAGGGTATGAATGACTTCAGTGGAGCCTCAGGATTTCCCCAGGGCGCTGGCAGGAGCAGGGGCATCCTAGAATCCTATCCAGAGTCCTTAGAGGATAGTCATAACCGAATATGACATAGGAATGAAGTTCCTGCCGGACTAACAAGACCCAGGAAGACCCTGTTGTCTGGCCATAGTCCTCCCTGCTTGTCGGGCCCCTCCCTGCTTCACAGATGCTCCCCACTCCAGAGCTAGTGTCCTGCACTCTCTCCCCCGCTTTCTCCTCAATCATCCTGTCCTCATGACAGACTCTGCATCTCATTCCCTCCTCTGATAACAGCTTAAAGGGAGCTCTGGTCAGCCTGATGAAAGCCCAGAAGGCAAGGGAAGCCTGAATTTCAAGAAGGGAGGAAAGTGAGCTTGTTTGTTTAAAATGCAGAGAGTCAGTGTTTATATACTATGAAGGTGTCAGGAAAGAGGACAAAATGAGATACAGGGATAGAAGAGAGAGCAGGAGCTACCTTCAGGGGCCCAGATGGAAGAATCCACTTTTAAAAGGGAGCAAGGAAAAAAAAAAAAAAAAAAAAAAAAAGGGAGCAAGGGTGGAGAGAGGGCTGTGCTGCTCAGGGGAACCAGACTGGGTTGGGGGTCAGGAAGCTGAAAGCTCATACCCGAAAGCTCCCATTCTCTCTGAATTAGGAAGAGTCAACAGGCGGGGTGCCGGGTTGGGGGAGGGGCAGACATCCCTGCCTCCCCGCAATATGTTATGATCAATATGCTAAATGCATTTTTCCTCCATCTGAGCCTGCCTACTCTTACTGTAACAGCTGTCTGTTGGCTTATTTGATGTTCATTGTCTGTCTCCCACACTGGCCTGTGAGCTCCAGGAGAGCAAGGGCCTGGCTGCTTCCTTTTCCACTCTTTCTAGTGCCTAGAACATCACCTGGAGCGCAGTAGGCGCACCATACGTACCTGAGAAAAGGAGTTCAGCCTCTCTTCTATACGACTGAATGACTGATGCCCCGGCCTCTTCCCCTCTTTCCTCCACCGTTGGCAGACTTCCCCTCTAATGATGCAGAGCAGTAGGCGGTTTGGATCCAGGGTCTGAAATTCGAGTACTGGGCATCCTGATTCTAAAGCACCTCACCTGGACACGCGACCTTGGGCAGGCTCCCTGCTCTCCTCCTGCCTTTGGCTGTGGGCGTCAAGCAGCTGGCTGGGAAGCAGAGGCCAGGCAGACGTTGCAGGGTGGAGTGACAGCTTCCTTCTTCTCTCTGCTTGTCCTCCAGTAGCCTAAGGCACTCGATTCTGGGTAGTGTCAGGGTAGGAGAGCAGGCTAAAAGCAAACCACCCCCCCAGCTCTGACTCTCACTTCCCCAAAAGGCATTTCCGGGGACTCAGTGACAGAAATCACATTCACTGTCCATCACAGGGAATTCTGGAGACTTTGGGTTTATTCAGGAATCTGCTTTTTTTTTTTTTTTTTCCTTTAACCAGGTTCCTCTAAGATGTAGAATTTACAGTGTGACAGCTACACATATATTCACATAAATAAAACGCATTTAAGGGCTTCCCTGGTGGTGCAGTGGTTAAGAATCCGCCTGCCAATGCGGGGAACATGAGTTCAATCGCTGGCCCAGGAAGATCCCACATGCTGCGAGCAACTAATCCCGTGCACCACAACTACTGAGCCCACATGCCACAACTACTGAGCCTGTGTGCCACAACTACTGAGGCTGCATGCCATAACTACTGAAGCCCGTGTGCCTAGGGCCTGTTCTCTGCAACAAGAGAAGCCACCGCAATGAGAAGCCTGAGCACTGCCACGAAGAGTAGCCCCCACTCGCCACAACTAGAGAAAGCCCGCGCACAGCAACGAAGACCCAACACAGCCAAAAAGAAAAAAAAAACCAAAAACCAAAAACATGTTTCTCAAAATGTCTTTAGGACACGCAATGCACTCCAACTAACATGTTCTCACCTATACTAGCCCATTTCATGAGAAAAAGTCCTGAGTGTAAACCCCTCAATTTATTTCAAAATGGTCATGCCCTGTGTATTAAAAAACTCGAGTTTTTCTCATGAAAAAGAAATGATCTGAAATAGCCATGAGTTCCAAAAGGTGTGGGTAGAATGCATGTGTTGGGGGTGAATTAGAATTTCAGAAAGTTGGAGTTGGAAGAAGTCTCTGTGGGAAGAGGCAGACCTGTAAACAGCTTAGCAGGAAGATGGGGAGACCTGAATATGAATCCAGCTCCTCACTCCCTGCCATTAAGGGCTTCGTGGACTTGGACACAAATCCCTCTGCCCGAGGCCTGCACTGTCAAAGACAGCAGCCACTGGCCCTGTGAGGCTATTCCACTGAGCACTGGCTAGATGGCTAGTCGAGGCCAGGATGTGCTATAAGTGTGAAATACACACTGGTAAAAAACAATAAAAAAAATAAAGAAAATAAAAAATTTTTTTAAAAATTTTAAAAAATTAAAAATAAATAATATAAATAAATAAAAGAAATACACACTGGATTTCAAATATTTGGTACAGAAAGAAGAACATAAAAGATCTTACTAATAAAGAACCTGCTGTATAAAAAAATAAATAAAATTATTTTTAAAATCTCATTAATAAATGCTTATCTCAATTACATGTTGAAATGATAATATTTTGGATATAGTGGGTTAAGCAAAATGTATTATTAAAATTAATTTCAGCTTCCCCCCCTTTCTAATTTTTCCCCCCAGTTGAAAATCCCCCACTTGACCCTCCTGCTCACGCTCAAATTCTTAGGGTTACCATCTGGGCATTACTATACTTACTGGTGTCAGCTCAAACATTGTAACACTGTGTAAAAACAGAATGGAATTCCACAGCAGAATGGATAAATAAGCTGGTATAGTCATACAATGAAATGCTACCCAGAAATTTAAAAAAATGAATTCCTGATACACACAGCAGCATAGATGAATCCTGACAACATTACAGTAAGTGAAAGAAGCCACATTTGAAAGAGTACAACCTGTATGAGTCTCTGTGTATGAAGTTCAAGAACAGACTAAACTACTGATAGAAATCAGAATAGTGGTTTCAATGGGGGCAGAAAGGATCTGGTTGGAAAGGGCACAAGGGGATGGAAATGTTTACATCTTGTTATGCAATTGTCAGATGTACTGAACGGTACGTTTAAGACCTAGGCACTTTATTGATAACTATACATCATCAAAAAATAAAAATAAAAAATAGAATGAGCTGCCTTTCAAGCACTTACCTGGCTGGGCAGGGAATGAAGTTTGCTGGTAGGAACTGGATGGAGACTGTTGAATTCCTCTGGGTACTGGGGCAGGTGGGGGTCTGGAGTTCTGGGGGAAAATGGGAGGAGGAGAGGAAGGGGAGCCAGTTGGATGGTTGGAAAGTGGGAGAAGCATCTGGTGGAAGATGATCAGGAATGGAGTGGCCAAAGGGCCAATGGCATTTTTTTTTTTTTTTTTTTGCAGTACGCGGGCCTTTCACTGTTGCAGCCTCTCCCGTTGCGGAGCACAGGCTCCGGACGTGCAGGGTCAGCGGCCATGGCTCACGGGCCCAGCCGCTCCGTGGCATGTGGGATCTTCCCGGACCGGGGCACGAACCCGTGTCCCCTGCATCGGCAGGCAGACTCTCAACCACTGCGCCACCAGGGAAGCCCGGGTCAATGGCATTTTAAGAACAGGACTGGATTATGTCAGTTTGCAGTGGTCTGCATTGCTGCATTAGAAACTTCCCCTATGGCCCTCATCCAATCTTTAGTAAAGTCTACTGCATCTCCCAATGCGTTGGTACACAGTTTTGTTTTGGTGATGTGGGGAGTGAGGGAATGACTGAGTTTCATCCCTGGGTCAGTGCAGTATGGAACAGAGGCTCACCCACAGGGGCTCGGAGCTGGGCTGGCCATGGGAAAGTGGAGGCCTCCTGGGGAGTCCACAGAAATCTGTAGGAGGGCTTTGGACTTCGCAGGGCATGGAATGAGGGTTTGAGCTGCTCTCCACCTAGATCTCAAGTGTCTGGGAGATTGTAGATAATACTGAGGCTACACTTGCAAGTCAGCTTGAGCAGTGATTGCCCGAATTCGCCTCTTGTTCCCAGACTGTCACTTCCCAGGCTCAGTAAGGCCAAGTTCCCACCTGGCCACTTCACTGTTGTCAGCACCAGAAATGGCCATGTGGATAGTTGATGGCCACTTAAAATCCAGCTGTGGCTGCGGAAGGGCAGGGCAGTGTAGTAAAAGGAGTTCAGCCTCTCTTCTCCCTCTCTCTATCCTTCCATTTCTGTGAAAGGCTAAATATAAGGCCTAGAGAACTAAGAAGGAGAAGGCAAGCCAAACATCCTTTTTTGCACATGAGGCCTTCAGTATGACAGCTTATCACACCAGCTCTCAGATTAATCTTGTCATCTGGTTTATTTCATTATAGGGCTTGACTCTGCTTCACACTGAAATATTGACACATTCACCCATCATAGTTTATTGCTCCCCTGGCCACAGTTAGAAACTACATCTATTTGCTAGCAAAAAATGAAAGATAATCACAAAATCCTATCCTGGCAAAGTTGTAGTGAAACGGACCCTCCCACAGGGCCAGTGGTACTATACATTGATTTCTTTTTTTAAAAAAATTATTTAATTAATTTATTTTTGGCTGCGTTGGGTCTTCGTTGCTGTGCGCAGGCTTTCTCTAATTGCGGAGAGCAGGGGCTACTGTTCGATGCAGTGCACGGGCTTCTCATTACGGTGGCTTCTCTTGTTGTGGAGCACGGGCTCTAGAGCGCAGGCTCAGTAGTTGTGGCACACGGGCTTAGGTGCTCCGTGGCATGTGGGATCTTCCAGGACCAGGGAGCAAACCCATGTCCCCTACATTGGTAGGCGGATTCTTAACCACTGCGCCACCAGGGAAGCCCTATACATTGATTTTTATAAATTTATTTATTTATTTATTTAATTTTTGTCTGCCTTGGGTCTTCATTGCTGCGTGCGGGCTTTCTCTAGTTGCGGTGAGCAGGGGCTACTCTTCGTTGCAGTGCGTGGGCTTCTCACTGCAGTGGCTTCTCTTGCTGTGGAGCACAGGCTCTAGGCTCGTGGGCTTCAGTAGTTGTGGCACACGGGCTCAGTAGTTGTGGCTCGCAGGCTCTAGAGCGCAGGCTCAGTAGTTGTGGTGCACAGGCTTAGTTGCTCCATGGCATGTGGGATCTTCCCAGACCAGGGCTCGAACCCATGTCCCCTGCATTGGCAGGCGGATCTTAACCACTGCACCACCAGGGAAGTCCCTACATTGAATTTTTAAAATTTTTTTTGGAAAGAAAATAGTAATACATTTGAAAATGGGCTTCCCTCCATCTTATAACATTACTGGAGCATGTGGCTGGAGACGGCTGGGAGAAAGCACAGAAAAGCGAATTTTGATTGTTTAGTGTGTGAGAGTAGGATCCTTCTTTCTTTCCCTGCCACCCAGCCTTGCTGTGAGGCATAAAGCAAACACAGTTTCAAAAATTTAGGTATCACATTTTATAAGAGCTTCTGCTCCCTGCTCCCGAATAGGTTGATATTCTAGTATCTTTGAGATGTTCTAGGTGATGTGAGCCTTCCAGAGCTGCAGATCATTCAGGCTTCTTAGTAAGTTTATCCCAGAATTTCTACAACCCAGGAGTCCTTTCCTGGGTCCAACCAAATCGCCTCTTGCTGTTGCTTACTTTCTCTTATTTGCTTGGCTCTAAGAATGCAGAGGGAAACTTGAACCGGTCGCTCAGGGGCTCTTTGGCAGGAATGTTGGTGTCATGTTAAGTAGATGGAGGGGGTCAGGGATGCTGGTGCCTGATGACAGCGATGACGCCTGTATTTCTATGTCTAGAATGTACTTACATCAAAATAAAACATAGATAAGTTTCCAAAACAGCTACACCTCAGAAAAAAAAGACTGGCAGGCAAGACAGCAAACTCTTTACTGTGATTATTGTGAGGTGGTGGGATTTGGGGTCATTGTTTCCCCTATTGCTCAGCTGTTTTCTAATTTTCAGAAAGGGAAAAAAAGATGCTAAAAAAAAAATTAAAAAGAAGCTCCCAGGCTTTGTATTCTCCAGGCTCAACAATCCCCACTTTTGACGCTTCCTCAGAGGTCCACCCATGCAAAGGGACCAGGAAAGGGAGTGGCTGTAGGGACAACTGATGCATGAGAAGGTGGAAGTGAAAAGGACAAAGCCGAGCCCAGGTCTCCTCCGCAGTAATTTTTTCCAGGGGTCAAGAGCAGACTGCTCAATTG